CATGACTCAAAGCCGACTGATGGCACAACTCACGACGATGCAGATGCAACCATGAGAAAAAAGCAATGCCGTACATCAATCGTTGCAGAGGCTTACACGACAAGCTTCTCCGCAGCGGAGGACAATTATTGGAGGATTCGTTCATCACGGTCGTTCTTGCTGGCCTCCGTCCTCAGTGGCGTACGATGTGCTTCCTTCTACGCGCTCACAGGAGGATCTCCGAGATGCACTTGTGTGCAGAGCTCCACGCCAAGCAGCAAGACATGGACCTGTACGAAGAACCAAATGCCAAGAAACCGAGTCAGCAACTCGCGTTCTACGCGCACGGGCTCAACCATAACAATCACCATCATGATCGACACTCACCTCCATATTGTCATCGATGCCGCTTGACGGGACACTCGCGCTTCAACTGCCCAAGGCAGCAGCAGCAGAAGGAACAACAGCAGCTGCAGTTCCCACAGTATCAACCACGCGCGCCACGTCCGTCACGGAATCCGGTTGCTTCGACTCAGCAGCGCCCACCAGCTTCGGCGAACCGCTCTGCACAAGACGCACAAAATGTCGTCAGCTTCATGGCACGAACAATTTTCTGCGTACCCGACTCCCCACCTCACAGTGATCTCGACGAACAACCCCCCGCTCCAACACAGACCCGGCTCCAACCGAACCCCAGTTATGCTGCAATAGCTCACGACGAACCATCCGGCTGCGACACGTGGTTCCTTGATATTTGCTGTGGACAGCACATGTGTTCTTCGGTGCATTTCGTCCAGCGAGAGAAGACTCTAAGCCGCAAAGTCGTCATCACCGTTGCCAACAACCATAACCTGCGCACACAAAAGGAATGGATCATTCAGTTACAATCGAGGGAGACAAACGTTATACTACAAATATCACGGGTACTTGTCATTGACAACCTCGGCTAATATCTACTAAGTGTCAGCCAACTAATGTCGAAGGGCATTCACCTGGAGTGCGACAGCTTAAATCGAGAGTTCCGTCTCTACGAAGGGAAGGTCGGTCTCTTCATCGGCATAGCCACCCAGAAGCACGGAGTCTTCGTCTTGGACTTCATTTCAGACCGCGGGACCGCTGACAGCGATGGCGTTGTCTCCTTCACATCTTGGATCTTGACCCCAGATTCGACCGCGACGGTTTCTGGAACTCCAACACGATCCCTGAAGCCGAGAGCACACGGGCATTAGCAGTGATGCAAGAAGCAGAGGAACAAGAATCAGAAACACAACATGCAGCAGAACCACAAGCACTGATACGATGCTTCCTGAAAGTGCCATCGCTGGAAGTTTGTCGGCGCCACCCGTCAAAGAAGCTCCGCCTTAGACACCACCCGTTCATGAACCACCGCCAACCGACGCCGAGTAGCTGAAGGCACATCCTCGCAAGCAGCATCAGAGTGCCGCGACCGTCTCCGCCTTTTACCCAACTCGGATCTGTACCGTCGATCTGTGTGGCACAAGGTGAGCGAGGAAATATGGCATCAAAGGTTAGGACATCCCGGCAATTCAAGACTATTTGGCACTATTCGTGCGAACATCCTGGACAAGGATGCTCTTCTACTTCTTGACGACCATGAACTCCGACGACCTCGACGCACCTGCTTTATCTGCTCGGAAGCAGATCTTCCTCGACAACCGTTCCCATCGCACAACCCAAGTGCAACATAGTACGCACCACTCGAAAAACTATACAGCGTTATACCATATATCCCACGAGAAGTCAGCCGGGCCGATCTCAACTACGTCATCACCTTCATCGATGCCGCCACACAGTACACATGGCATCTTAACCTACCATCACGCAACCTCGCCTTCTCTGCCTTCGTTGCATGACTTGCTGCAGCAGAACAGGAGGGAGGCACGAAAATCAAATGTTTTCAGTCAGACGTGGTGATTTAATACCAGTCACATCGATTCAGGGACTACCTCTTTGAGAGAGGAATAAAGAGGCTTGTCACCCTCCCCTACGCTCACCAATGGAATGGTGTAGTAGAGAGGATGAACATAACCCTCCCGAACACCATGAGGAAGCTGCTGACTGGGATGTGCATGCTCGAATCGCAGTGGCTGGAGGCGATGAATCACGCTGTTATGCTGCAGAATCTTATGTCATCAAGCTCCCTGCCAAACAACCCATCACCGCATCTTCTGTGGACAAGGAAGAAGGGCAGCACAAGATTGTTACGAGTGTTTGGCTGCATGGTACAGTACCGTCCGCACACTGCACGAGCTGGACGATTTTCACAGAGGAGAAGATGGGGTCTACACTTCGGTGTGGAAAAACACTACAAGGCCTGGACTATTTTCGACGTAGAAGATAAGGAAACAGTACCGGCACGTGATGCGATTTCCTACGAGAATCTCACCCTCAACTATTACTTGGAGAATATCGCAACCAATCAAGACCCATCTGGTGGTTTCGCTGGCGCACGCGCGTTCGCCTCGACAAAAAAAGAAGCTGACCTGGAATAGCAAAACGTCTCGGACGCGTCAGCAGCTGCAGATGGACGATGAAAATCTTCTTGAAAGCACGAACGCTGGAGCATACTACCACTTCGCTGACACTGATTATGTATCACTCAACAACGTCGACACCAACGTTTTAAAAAGAGTTGGACCGGGTTTCGTACGTGATCCTGAAGCGGGAGACGAAGCAGACTATCCTGATGATCCGACACTCCCCCGCTACACGGAGACTGGCCTGTGAATCCTCAGACTTGTAGCAGCCGTGCATCCTCCGTCATCACCGCCGCCAGTCGAGGAGCCGAAGACCGTCAAGCGAGCGCTGCAAGGACCATACGGGGAAAAATGGAGGGAGGCAATGGATCGACAATTAGCGGCACTGCACGAGAGAAACACTTGGAAGCTGATTTCGATTTCTCATACCAAGGGGAAGACAATCCTCTCCAGGAAGTGGGTCTTCCGAGTGAAGACCAAAGCAGATGGAACCATCAAACGATTCAAAGCACGATGGGTAATTTGCGGCTTCGACCAGCAGTACGACAGCCACTACACTAAGACCTTCGCTCTGGTCAGTTGCCACACTTCCCTTCGCATTCTCCTCGCCGTCGCCGCCGCCCGCCGACTTCCTCTACGACAAAGCGATGTCGTCACCGAATTCCTCTACACCCTCGGTCGATGCATACATCTTCATCGAGTAGCCACATGCCTACGTCGACTACCCAATGCTCGTCAAATCCCTCTATGGGATCAAGCAGGCCCCGTGCCTGTGGTAGCAGTACTTGCACATGATTCTGACCACCATGGGATTCTCCCAACTTCCCCACGACCAAGGCATGTACAGGCTATCCTGCAGCGGCGACTACGTCCTACTGATAGTCTATGTAGACCACCTGCTCTACGTCGGCTCCACCACTTCCATCATCGTCTGGTTCGAAGGGGAGCTGGAGCTTCAGCTCACAATCACTGTGTCGCCAAACGTAACGCAGTATCTCGGCCTCAACATCATAGACGGCCCCGACACCATCCATCTCTCGGCATCGAAGTACGCCAAGAACATCGCTCGATGTTTCGATCTCTCCCCGCTACCTCTCACGACTCTGTACGCCTACCGCGCCTAGCTACTTGCACTACCCGGAATCCGGGAATATCAGCAGTAGCTGGGCTGCCTGCTGTTCGCCGCCGTCACCTGCCATCCTGATCTCTCCTACGCCGCTAGCCAGCTCTCTACCTACCTTAAGCGACCTAAAGGGGGGAATCTACAGGAACTCGATCGCGCGCTTCACTACATCATCTCGACCCTGACGATCAACCTGACCTACCACAAAAACGCTACTACCAAGACCGAACTCATCGGCTACTTCGTCGCCGATCACGCCGAAGATTAGGATAACATACACTCACTATCACAGGATCGAATGTGTTGAGGGAAAAGTTGCACTATCGATTGATACAAGGGGTTTGTATATTTATGAAGTACATCAGGTAACCAGGTTCATTGTATCCAAAAGAAATAGAATCACCCTGCGTATAGCCACGCAAGGCTATTGGCTATAAGGGATTACGTCAAGATTATGCTAGATAAAGCGCGCCAGTACATCCCCAGCCTGGTCGGTGATATAATTACAATAATAGGATTACCCAAAGGATAATCAGAAAGGAGGAATAGGAAACCAAATGAGATGTGATAAAGATCAAAGGAATCAGGACATTTAGAAGAATGAGATAGAGTAAAAAGATGGAAATGAGAAAGAAGTGTAACGGGGTCGTACTCTCACACTTCCCCCCCTCAAATCTGGGTGGTAGAAGTAACACCCTACTTGACAAGGTAGTTTCGAAGAGGACGCCGAGCGTTACTCATCTCGGATTCAGAAACCCAACTATCCTTAGAAGGATCATAACCCTTCCAACGAATGAGAAGCTCCACGGTGCCATTCCGACGACGGCGGTGTGCGAGCACGGACTCGACCTCGTACTCGGGTTCATCGTGGATGAGGACGGGCGGCGGCGGCGGGGTTGGCGTCCGGTGAAGACCGTGTTAGGATCTCGATATGACTTCAGAAGTTGGACATGGAAGGCATTGTGAAACTTCCAGGTAGCTGGCAGGCGTAAGCGGAAGGTAACAGGAGTGACCTGTGCTTCAACGAGAAAGGGCCCACAGAATCGAGGTCATAGTTTGGATGGGAGATGACAGATGTCGAGATTGCGGGTGTCAAGTAGAACTTGGTCTCCCACGGTGATGGTGTGGTCAGTGCGGTGGCGATTGGCCTGGCGCTTTTGTTGCTACTGAATGTCGAGGAGGTGCTTCTGGGTCCGATCCCAAAGCTGATGCATGGTCGTGATGAAGTCATGTGCGGGTTGGACTATGGCTGATGCTGTTGGGTTTTGTGGCGTGAGCGGGTGGCGTCCGTGACAGAGGAAGAACGGCATCTGTCCGGTAGTGGCGTGAGTGGCATTGTTGTAGGCAAACTCCAGGACGGGCAGATGCAAGTCCCATTTAGAGATTTTGTCTTTGCATGCTGCGTGGAGGAGTTGCTCTACAATTTGGTTTAGGTGCTCGGTCTATCCATCTGTCTGCGGATGGTAGGCGGATGACATGGCGAGTTTGGTCCAAGCAGAGACATCAGTTCCTTCCAGAACTTGCTGGTAAACTTGGGGTCTCGGTCGGAGATGAGTGTGGTTGGAATGCCATGTTGTGAAAAGATATAGCAAACGAATAGTTGTGCTGTCTCTTCGGTGCGTGCTGTCGTGTGTGTCGGGATGAAGTGTATCATTTTGGAGAATTTGTTGATTGTGACGAGGATTGCGTCATGACCACTTGTAGTAATTGGTAACCCGGTTATGAAATCCAGGCTAACCACTTGCCATGGCTGTTCTGGGACAGGTTGAGGCTGTAGCGGTCCTGTTTTTTTTCTGCTTACTGCTCTTCATCCGCTGACATATAGCCACGAGGTGCAAATTTCTGGACGTCATCTGCCATGTGGGCCAGTAATAGTGCGTTGCAATACCGGTGAGTGTTTTGTTGCTATCGAAGTGTCCGCATATAGGACGTCGTGTATTCTTGGAGTAGTAATTGGCACAAAGGAGGGTAATTGGGTACCCAGATTTTCGTTGATCCCTTCCGGTACGCGATGTCACTGTCCCACTGTAGCAGGTGTCGCTTTTCTGCCAAAGGAATTTCGGGGTCGATGGTGTACCCGTATGTGAAGAGTCCCTTGAGTAGTGGGTTCATCCCTTCGACCTGGATTGAGGCAACGTGTGCAAGTCGACTGAGAGCGCCTGCTTTGTTTTTGTGGCCGGGCTTGTACACGATGTCATAGTGGAAGTGCGTCTCGAGGAAGTCAATCCATGCCGCCTGGAGAGGTGTGGCTGTGTCTTCAGATATTTCAGGTTGCCAGTGGTCGGTGTAACGGTTGTTTTCCGTCCTTCGAGATAACATCCCCACGTTTTGAAGGTGATGAAATAGCAAGGGCTCCTTGTCGTGTATCGGTAGTTTGTTCTGCCCGTGTAGTTTCTTGCTGAGATAGGCAATTGGTTGCAGTCCATTCCCCTGGTCTTGCATTAAGACTGCTCCACGCCTGGTCACTAGCGTCAGCTTCGATGACATAGTCGCGTTCGGGGTCTGGCAAGATGAGTATGGGTGTGGACGTGAGTGCTTGTTTCAGCTGCTCCACGACTTCCTGATGTTTAGGTTCCCACGTACAGGGCGTGTTCTTCTTCAGCAGATTCGTGAGTGGTGTTGCAATTTTTCGTACTGTGGCATGAACCTGTTGTAATAGTTAGCGAAGCCTAGGAATTGTTGCAACTCCTTCACATTCTCGGGTGTCTTCCACGTGCGTACGGCTTTGATCTTCTTAGGGTCGATGTGAACTCCTTGAGCGCTCACCATGTGTCCTAGGAATTGGACTTTCTCGAGGGGAATTCGCTCTTGGATGATTTGACATAGAATTGTTCTCGTCGGAGAATGTCGAAGACGCGTCGCAGGTGTGGGACGTGCTGCTGCATGCGCACGAGTAGATGAGGATGTCGTCCAGGTACACCACCACGCATTCGTCCAAGAGTGGGCGTAGAATATGGTTCATTTCAGCTTGGAATGTTGCCGGTGCATTGGTGAGTCCAACGGCATTACGGATACGCGTATGACCCGTACCGAATTCGGAAGGCAGTTTGTGGATGGAATTGTCCGCCATTCGTATCTGCCATATCCGGACCGCATATTCATTTGGAACATACCGTGGCTCCCTGAAGCTGGTCAAGCAGGTCATCGATTCGTGGATTGGGTATTTGTTCTTGATGGTCTGGTTGTTGAGAGCTCGGTAATCGATGCACATGCAAGCTTCCGTCTGGTTTCGGTGTGAAGATTATGGGCACCGTATGGCAAAGTAGATGGTCGGATGAGTCTTTTTGCGAGGAGATACTCGATCTGTTTCTTCATGTTGGTAGCTCTGTGGGGCTGAGCCGATATGGTGCTCGGAAGTCAGCTTCGAACCTGGTTCTTCCACGATCTCGTGTTGGTGCGTTCCGGTATGGCGGCAACTCGTTCGGAAGGTCATCGGGAAGAATGTCTTCGAACTCCTTCAGTAATTCCTTGATTTTTTCTGGAGGTTCCGAGGTTTTCTCTTTGTGTTTTCCACCTCTCTCGCTATCGCTTGGAACCCGATATCGGTTTGCTTTACGTCCTTCTCGAATATTGCGAGCGTCTCCACTGGGATATCTCCTGTATCATCTCAGCTGGGCAGCTGTACTCTCTTCCGTTATTGTAGATGCTTGCGGTATGATTTACTCAGTTGATCTCGGGTAGAATCTTTTTAGGGAGTCTTGCCCAAAGATCAAGTCAAGCCCTATTTGGTTGGTGATGGGGAGTGCAGGTTTCCAGCGCATGTGTCCGATTTGTAGGTGTAACACTGCTTCGCCGTTTCTGTAACTTGCTGCTCTCCACCATCGTGGCAGAGAATGCTGATGGCTTGTACTCTTCCCGAAGTGGTCAATTATACCTTGTCGCAGCGGTGTGTGATACTCCGCTGTCCACGAGTGCTTGGAGGCGTCGTCCTTTGCAGATGACCTCAGCACGAGGGCGGGCGTTGCTCGTAGTACCCAAGATAGTTTGTTATATGATCATAGGGTACATCCAATATCCGTACACACCTTTTTCTTGCTATCTGCTCGTGGGTTGGCAGCTGGCCAAGCTGCTTGGAGAAGTCTCTCCCTTAGGACCCTGACCTTTCTTGATAACTGTGTGTGTCGTTGATGCCGAATTTGCTGAGCAGGATGCATCCGAAGGAGGAGTTCAAGGTTTTTGCAGCTTCTTGTAGACCCCAGCTTCCTCTTGAGCTGCTTCAGCTCCACCGACGTCTTCCCTGGAGGAACGGGTAGTCGTTGTGGCTGGTGTCGGGAGAGGACGTTGACTTCATGGAAAGGTCGGCTTCTTCTACATCCTTAATTTTGTCCCCAAGTTTTCGGTACCGGTACGATCTCCACAAGTTTCTGCTTCTTCTGGAGTCCCTCCTGAATTTATCCAAGGCTCTAGCCCCTCGAGAATCATAAGTTTTCATTAAAGCATCCTTAAAGACAACTTCAACGAATCCTTATAATTTCTGGGTCTTCTCGAGTTTCCCCGTCTCGGCAGAGTCCTTTTTTGCGGAGTCAGATTTTCGTCGGCGATTTTCCCTGGCCAAGACTGGTTGTGGGTGAGATTTTCCCTCATTTCCTCCTGCTCGTCAATCAGCTTCGTTGAAGTTGATTTTCCCGAAATCCCGCGGCCGCTTTCGGATATTTTCTTTTTCGCCAGCTAGATCCGCAATCACTGGCGAATTCCGTTTTTTGTCTTCTGATTGGCCAAGATCCGCCATTGTTGCGTGCCCGATTCTCTGCTCGTGCGGCTTGCATTTTGTTGCAGTCGAAGATTCAATGGCCGGCACCCCGCAAAAATCATACGTGTAGTTGGTGTTTTTCGAACGTGGCCGCCCGTCGAACCTGTCGATTTCCATCGGGTCGGCGAACGTGGGTGAGCCGAGCATACTGCCGACGTGCGCCCGTTGTGTTCCGGTGTTGACCATGTCAAACCGTTCCGCTGCCGAAACGACGTCACTGTAGGTCGTGTAATTTGTCGTGCTACTTGTCGTTGACTTCGGTCTTCAGCCGGCGAGATATGACTGTACTTTTTCCCCTTCGGTCACGTCAGGAATACGGTTAAAAATTCCTCCATCTGTTGCGTGTACTGTGCTACATGCCCGAACTGTCGATGGCGATGAGTTTTTTCCCGAGCAAGGAAACCGAATTTATCGGCTCGAAGCGTTTCAGCAGGTCGGTGCGGAACTGCTGCCACGTGGCTTCGCAGTGGATGAAGGTACTGTTACCGCCGATCCACTCGAGTGCCGGTCCTCGCATCAGTGTCGCCGCGAGTCGTACGCATCGACCGTCCCATTTTGGTGAGCTCCATCCGACGGTGCGAAGTAGATCTTCATGCCGGCGATCCATCTGCGACGTCAGAATTTCGATCGCTCGGATCGAACGGCTAAGGTTGGCGCGGTTTTGGAGCCTCAAGAAACTGCTGCGACTTCTGCGTCGTCGCCATTGTCGTTTCGCGCTGCGCACCGGCGAGTCGAGTTACTCGCTCGAACTCATTTTGCCAAGCTTCGCGATCGGCTCCATCTCTCGTGAAGGGCAGCGATGCTCACGAAGAGCTGTAGTAACCTCGCGTTGTCGAAGTTCGCCATCCTGTTCAAAACATGCGCAGAGGGGTTAATTAAAAAAACGCGAGCCGGTGCTTACCAGAATCGGCGCCGAATTAGATCCCCGCGGTTTTGCGAGGCAGTTTTCCTGCTGCTTCTGCTTAGCTGAGCGTGGCTGAGTGAGAAAAGCTCTGATTACCAAGTGTTATTGGATGGAATGTGTCGAGGAAAGGTTGCACTATCGATTGATTCAAGGCGTTTTTATACTTCCAAGGTACATCAGATAACCAGGTTTATCCTATCTAAAGGAATAGACCTTCGAGAAATAGAATCACGCTGCGTATAACCACGCAAGGCCATTGGCTTTACCGGATTATGGCAAGATTACGCTAGATAATGTAGCATGCCTATACATCCGAGCCTGGTCGGTGATATAATTATAATAATAGGTAACCCAAAGGATAATGAGAAAGGAGGAATAGGAAACCAAATGGGATGTGATAAAGATAAAAAGGATCAGGATATTTAGAAGAATGAGATAGAGTAAAAAGATGGAAATGAGAAAGAAGTGTAACGGGGTCGTACTCTCACACTCACGCACCGTCTACATCTACCGTCTGGAACCTATCGGCACTATCTCCTGGCACTCGGGAAAACAGGAACTTATCGCTCTCTCATTTGCTGAAGTTCATTTGCACAGCCACAAAGGAATGAATGTACCTGCGTGAGCTGCTCGAAGAAGCGAAGATTGCCGAGTTACTGAGCTTCTCTCTCTTCTACGACAACCAATCAACAATCAGAATTGCCAACAAAAACAGATTCGCAAATAGGACGAAACACATCTCGCTTCGGTATTTTTTTTCGTAAAGGACGAGATCGAGTAGGGACGCCTCCAATTGGTCTACTGTCCCACCATCAAATGGCAAGCCGACTACTTGACCAAGAAGTTGATGAAGTCGAAGTTCCAGTACTGCATGCTGCTGACTAGAATGCAACACGCCAGCAACCTCGACCACATCGACACTCCAGAAATAAAGGAGGGTGTTGGAAATGATAAAAGAACTTAAGGCATTTCCGAAGATTCACGTCAGTGGACGAATACGAGAAGACTGAAACAACGAGGATCACCGAGTCAGCATTGCTACAGTACCACCGACGGTTGACATAGGTTGACAACACCCTGCAGAGGTTACGAAAGGGCAATGGTTGCAGACCGTTGACCACTGTTGACCGTGCAACCCAACAGTCAGAGTCGGAAGAATCAAGAGTCAGCGCGACAACAAAAACAAATAACCGTCATGATATTACAGTACGGGTGGTTACCTGAGTCGCCTTATCGAGTCGTAAAAAGGGAATGTACTCCTTGAAGTGCACAAACAGTTAGTCTCTTCATATTCTATTGTACTATTATATAGACCTTGTATACCTTTGCTATAATCAATCACTTGTTCGCACATACCAGTACAAGGGTCAACTCAAGACTTGCAAAGATCAGCGCAACATCAGGCACATGGCCAGAACGACCCCGATGAATTTGAGCGAGAATGTGCTCGGATGGTGGTGGTGGCATCCTAGGAGCAAGCTCAACAGCTTGTGAGAGGTCGAAGGGTTCATGTGAAGTATTGTTATTCTCAATCATAAAACTATCCTCATAATTCACAGGCTTTAAGTCGGTCAATCCTCCCAGCCCACGCAGATAAGTCAAGGTGCGCGCATGCGAGTCGAGGCCATGACTAGCTGTGGCATGCCAAGACACCCCATCACCATCCAGAGCAAATGCCATGTCAGGTCCAGATAGTGCCGGGTCCGTGAGAACTGGTGCAGCACCGGGAGCTAGGAGTCTAGTTCTGAGGTGCCTCAAAACCTGACTCCTATCAAAGGCCATGTCAGGCCGAGATAGCTCCGGGTCCGAAAGAACTGGTGCAGTGCCGTGTCTCTGTAGCAAGGCAGGGCCGGGTTGTTGGTGCAAGTGGGCAGCAGACACGTGGACTGGTGCAGTAATCAAGGGCTCCTGCAGCAAAGCAGGGCCATGTTGTTGGAGCGAGTGGGCAGCAGACACGTGGACCGGTGCAGTAATCAAGGGCTTCTGCAGCAAGGCAGAGCCAGGTTGTTGGTGCCAGTGGGCAGCAGAAACGTGGGCCGGTGCAGTAATCAAGGGCTTTTGCAGCAAGGCATGGCTTGTCCGCAGTGGAACTTGCATGTGAGAGCCTCTCATATTCGAGGGCAGCTGCCGTGCACCAAGAGGGCCATTCCAAATGTTTCCAGGGGCCACTGGCTGCGGAGAACTGAAAGACTGCAGAAGCGCCTCGAACAGTGCCTGGGATGGTGCTTCGAACAGTGCCTGGGACGGTGCCTTGAACAGTGCCTGGGACGGTGCCTCAAACAGTGCCTGGGACGGTGCCTCGAACAGTGCTTGGGACGGTACCTCGAACAGTGCCTGGGACGGTGTCTGGAACAGTGCATGGGGCGGTGCCTCGAACAGTGCCTAGAACGGTGCCTCGAACAGTGCCTGGGACGGTGCCTCGAACAGTGCCTGGGACGGTGCCTGGGACGGTGCCTGGGATGGTGCCCGGGACAGTGGCTGGCACAGTGGCTGGCACAGTGGCTGGGCAGCCAAGGGGCGCAGGGCGGGGAAAGGCGGGAGGCCGGGCAGCCAGAGGCGGGATGACGGCTTGGGAAGCCCTTCGTGACAAAGGCCTTTGTGAAGGGAGTCACTCTCGTGCTCCACGCTGCATGATGCCTCAATGGACAGGACTGGCTCCTGTCCCGCAGAAATACTTTTAAATAGAAGGATTCCGGTCCCTCTAGAGAAGCTGCTCTCCCCGCCGGGAGAACCAGGCAGAGCAGGGAGTTGGGTGCCCTGGGGCACAGGTAGTGCAGGACGCAGATGGGTGGAGAGCGGTGCTGACAGCACAGCAAGCGGTGCCCTAAAGCCAGGATCTGTGCTGCGGAATCCCGGCCGCACATCGTCTGGAAGGACACTCTGCGAGACCGAACCACCCGCTGCTGTCAGCTCCACCCTCCTCCTCCCCACTGGTGGCGGAAATGCTCCTCCAGAAGAATATCGGCCAGAAGTCGACTATCCGCCCCCTGCTGCTGCTGCTCCGAGGACTCGGAGTGCCCCATGGTGCGGCAAGCCCACGCTCTCGCAGCTCGACTCAGCACCGGTGCGTCCGTCATAAACCCGCCACTCTAGTCCTCAAGTCCGCTCCAGTCCTCTCTTGCTCTCTTCAACGGCAGGCTGAGTGCAGCTGACCTGATGCAAGCGGTTCCATTCGCCAGAGCAGCAGCGTCGGAGACAGGTCTACTGGAAGCAGCAGCAGCAATAGGAGCAGCAGCAGCAGCAGCGGCACCGGGAAAAGAACCACCAGCTGAAGGAGCACTGCGAAAGGGAGCATTGGAGCGGCGGGCATTAGGTGAGAGGAACACGCTCCTGCACTCGTCAAACGACAGCCCACCGAAAGTAAGAGTACGTGACGGCGATCCGGGTGAATTGAATCCATCCTCCCCCTACTGCTGCTGCTGCTGCCGTTGCTGGCCATCACGCTAAGGCAGGAACTGACTCGGCCCCTCCAAGGCCATCTGTTTGGGGAATGCGGAACCTTCCAGGTGCTCTGACTGCTGACAGCATTGAACGAACTTCTTGCACCAAGGCATTGCCACAGACGAGGTGTTCAGAGGGGTTCAGAGGTGTTCGGTGTTCCAAAAAGATCAGCCCTGGCAGAGCACATAAATCCAAGAATTTCGAGTGGCATGCATGGTTACAAGTACCTTTTGAGGAAGGTGTAACGGTTATAGCAGGACTTGCCGTTCCACTTCAACTGACCACTCCTTTTGTAACAAGACGGAGGCGAAATCGTCACTCCCGATTTCGCCAACTAAACTCAATGTGATTTCGAGGTTGAAACCCAACCTCGGAATACATCCTTGGGCAATTCGAAGGTTGAACCCAACCTCGAATTGTTAAACCAGTCAATCTGAGTTTCCAACCTTGGGAACAACTACAGAGAGCAAGCAAGCCAGCCAAGCAGCGCATCAGAATAATCGACAACGCACCCAGCGGAAAGCAACTACAGCCATGGTTTCTACCAACACAGCTATATCTCATCATTTCTATAAATATCGTCAACAACACCAGTACAAGGAAGACTCGTCTAGGCTGCAATAGTTAATTCCTAGACTATGCATGCTACTTTCTAGATTCCAGCAAGGCTAACTGTGTATGCATGTAATCACTACCTATGCTTTGCTGTACTTAGCTTATCAAAGGTGAGATGCGACTTGGGCAACCTTCTCGAGGTGCCTCAGTCATTTTCCTTGTATATAGTGGTGTGCTTCTTGATTGGAAGCCATCATATGTTCTCTAGTAAAACTACCTTGCTACTCTCACCTTTCAACCCTTCCAAGAATACCTCCTAACTCTACTATCTACTCCAAATAGCCTAGTGGCTGTTTCATTTGGTTATCAGAGCTATCTCCGACCCTCTTTTGTTTATAACTCATCATGACAACTAATGGGCCCCCTTCTCCTGACGATTGGGCTGGTTTTTTTGCAAATCTACCGAGCCCAAATCATTTCTGAGGTTAGAGAAAGCTTGCAGGCAGAATTGCAAGCCAGTATAGCTGCAGCTAGAGTGGTGGCAGGCGTGAACCCTGCTGCACCATCAGATGGAAATCAGCGCGCTAGACCCGCTCTTCCTGATTTTTTGTTTCCCGGGAGAAATCAGCCGGTCGTGAGCCGGTGACTATTCCTCGTAGAGCAGTTCTTGCTGCTGAGTCACATAGCACTTGCTGAATGGACTGCCTTCACCGGAGCTATTCTTCATGGATCTGCAATTGCATGGTGGCAATCCGCGCACGCATCTATCACCTCTTGGGAACATTTCAAGCAAGTCTTCACGTCAACATTTCAACCCGTGAACCTGAACATCAAGGCACGAGACTCCATGGCTGCCCTCAAGCAACTGAAATCTGTCCAAGAGTACGCTTCTCGCTTCCGTGACATCAGTCAAGAAATTCCGGATCTCTCCCTTGCCGAATGAATGGATGGCTTCAAGCGTGGATTGAAGCCGAACGTGCGCATGGAGGTGGAGCTGAGAGAATGCACTACGCTCGAGGAAACGATATGTGTGGCTGAATGGTATGACACTGTTCACTTTGCCTACAGTAAGCCTCGCTTTCCTAGCAACCCGCTTCTCCCTTTTGCTCCCTCCTACCAGTCCTTCACTTCAGCAGACACCAACCAGCAAGAACCCGCTCCTATGGACCTGGACCTGATGGAAAAAATAAAGCGGAACCTGAGGCCACCAGTCGTGTGCTTCAAGTGCGGCAAGAAAGGACACATCTGGAAGTTCTGCCGCGGGCGCGGGCACACCAATCAACTACCTCTTCTTCCAACGCCGGGAAAAGGAAGTCGTCAGTGAGTTCGGGGCAACTTCCTGGTAACAAAATCAGCCCCTCCATCTCTTCTCTTGAAATTCATAGCCCTTCTAAACCTCTGCTTCTTCCCATCACTATCCGATGTCAAAGAGTGAAAGCCTTAATTGACAGTGGTGCTTCTTCAAAATTGATCTCCTCCTCTCTACTTTCCAAGCTTTCCCTCCCAGCCCAACCTAAATTCCTACCTCAAACAATGTTGATAGCAAATGGAACTTCAATTCCTTGTGGACCACACTACCTTTCCCTATCCCTTGTACCATCGGACCCTGCAAAACCAAGACTCAATTTCAGCTAGCATCCCTTGGAGACCATGAAATCATTCTTGGGTGTGATTGCCTGTCTATTGCTAATCCCAAGATTGATTGGACCCTTGCAACTGTTACCATCTCTAACGCTGGAAGAGACATAACCTTACCTACCCTTTCTTCCTCTCCTTCCATACCTACTTGCTGTAACATTCTTTCAGCAAGACAGTTTAAAAAATATTTAAAAGACCCAAGTGCTCAATTCTTTCTTTATCATTTAAAGAAAACCTGTAAAAGTCCTTCTTCCTCTTCCCCTTCCAAGGCTGCTGAGATCCCTCATGAAACTTAACAGGTCTTGGATGAATTCAAAGGCATCTTCCCCTCAGACCTTCCCTCTGGTCTTCCTCCCAAGAGAGCTATCGATCACCGCATTACTCTACTCCCTGGAACCGAACCTACCGTCCGTGATACCTACCGGATGAGTGCTACCTACCGGATGCGTACAGCTGGCGGTCCAGGTGTCGGCGTCAAGCAGCCGCAGCAGCAACAGTCGCCGCCAGTGTCCGCCCTTTGCCTGCTCGGCCTTTCCTCCCCTGACCGCTCGCCTGCGCCTCCCCCGCCGCCTCCTCCCCTTCCTGTCCACGGACCCGTGTTTCCTCCGCCGGACTGGTCCCCGGCCCGTTTCCCACCTCGTTCCCCTCCTGTTACTCCTCCTTTGTCTCCTGACCCAACACCTCCGTCGCACGTCTGGTCTCGCCGTCCCTTTCGTGCTCCTCCTGTCTCTCCGCTTCAGCGTTCTCACCCTAAGTTGCTTTGTTCCCACGCGTCTCGTCCTCCCCTCCTGCCTTCGCCTCCTCCATCGTCGCTCGCCGTCGTGCCTCCCCCCCTGATTGACTACCTTCGTGCTGGTCATCCTCTTGTTCCTCAGGTCCTTGCCTCCCTCGTTACCGACCCGTCTGTTCCTGTTGCCAGTCTTGAAGCTCTTGTCGCTGCTGTCGCTGACTTTATCTCTACCCGCCGCCTTGACTATGCCACTGCTCTGGTCTTTGACCCTGTCTGTCCTCGGTCCGTCGGGGGTGCTCCTGCCCTTGGCAGTGACGTTCTAGAGGACATGCAGTACGAGCTTGCTTTCCTGTCCGAGGTTGCTCCCCATCTCTGTTCCATGTTGCTAGTCCCTGAGGGTCACCCAAACGTCTTTGACATACCGACCCCTCGCACTTGCGCTGAGGTGACCTCGGGACCCTGTGCCTCACAGTGGATAGCTGCCATGGAGCAGAAGGTGGCATCTTGGAGATCCACCAGCACCTATGTCGATCCAGTTCCCCCCCCTGGGGTGAACGTAGTCGATGGCCAGTGGCTCTTCAAGGTGAAGCGCCCCCCTGGAGAGCCGCTTGTGTTCAAGGCGTGCTACGTGGCTAGAGGCTTCAGTCAGCGAGAGGGGGTGGACTTCTCTCAGACCTTCGCCCTGACCCCGAAGATGACTACTCTTCAGGCGCTACTACATGTAGCAGCTCAGCGTGACTACGAGCTCCACTCCCTCGACTTCTCCACTGATTTTCTTCAGGGCAGCCTACACGAGCAGGTCTACCTACGCCGACCACAGGGCTTCACCGGTACCTTCCCTCCTGGGACCCAGTGCCTCCTCCGGCGCCCGGTCTACGGCCTCGACAGGCGCCCCGTGAGTGACACGACACGCTGCTTGCTACACTAGTTGACCTGCAGTTCTTTCCGTCCTCTGCAGACCCTTTGCTCTTTGTTCGTGCTGGCCATACTCCGTTCTACATCCTTGTCTACGTAGATGACCTGGTCTTCGCTACTGCAGACAGTGATGCGCTGGCCTCGGTGAAGGAGCTGCTGAGGAGACACACCTGCATTGACCTAGGAGAGCTGCTCTGCTACCTTGGCCTGCAGATCTCCAGGGACAGAGCCGCGCACACCATTATTCTCACACAGTCACACTTGGTGCGCTAGGTCCTTCAGAGGTTTGGTCTTCAGTTCTCCTCCGCACAACCCACACCTCTGCGAGTAGATCATAGGCTCTCGGCTCCAGTTTCTGAGGAGTCATTAGAGCCCAGTGGTCCTTACGCACAGCTGGTGGGTTGCCTCACGAACCTGATGACTTGCACTCTTCACGATCTCGCATACCCTCTCAGCATCCTGGCTCGCTTTGTGGCCACAGGCAGACACTGACCACAGCACTGGCTCTGCGTTATCTAGCGAGTACATCGGGCATGGGGCTAGTGCTGGGAGGACGGAGGCTAGTCGTCCGTACTGGGCAAACAGACGCTTCTTGGGCAGACGATGCTGAGACCCTCAGGTCCTCCTAGGGCTATTGCTTTAGCCTTGGTTCAGGTGCCATCTCGTGGAGGTCCCCTCGCTCCTCGTCTGTTGCCCAGTCTCGATGTGAGGCTGAGATCTACGCCGGTGCCATGGCGGCACAGGAGCTCCGCTGGCTGACCTTCTTGCCCTCTGACTTAGGTGAGCGGCCTAGCTCTGTCACGGTCCTGTACGCTGACAACAGGGCCATGATCCTCCTGTGTTAGGAGCCTCGACTTGAGGGCAGAGCGAAGCACATCCAGCAGCGGTACTTCCTCCTGCGTGAGCTACAGCAGCGTTGCTAGGCCCGCGTAGCACACTTGGCCTCCGGTGCCAACACAGCTAATATCTTTACTAAGGCGCTTGCGCCTAAAGGTCATCAGCGGCACTGTTTGCAGCTTGGTCTAGCTCCTGTAGACTCTCACTTGCTAGGACCCTGATTGTGTACTCGTCTTTATATATATCTTTCAGACTGGCCTTGTGGCTTCTCTTCCAATGGCCGGAGTAGTAGTGCCGCCCTGGTTTGCTCCTGTCTTGTTTGTACTCTTGCTGATTGGTTTTCGGACCCCTGTCTCAGAGGTTGGACTAGTAGTGCCACCCTGAGCTGTGTGCTTCTTGCTCAGCACTACCCCTTATCTAGCCTAGGGGGTGTGTCAACTTATACATACATTTGCATATAAAAGTTATAGGCTAGAAATGGTGTGTGTTCTTAGAGAGTACAAACCAAACCCTAAATCTCCCTTGTTCTCTCTTCTTTCTAATTATTCTAGTATTCTAACAGTACGTGCAAGTACGGCACTATTTATTACAAGCTAATCCCCATTTCTTTTGTGTGACAAACAAGGCAGCATAGTACTGGCAAAGACCAGTGCAACATTAGGCGCTTGGCCAGAACGACCCCGATGAATCGGGGCGAGAATGTGGGCGAATGGTGGCATCCCAGCAGCAAGCTTCACTGCATGTGAGAGATTTAAGGGTTCATGCGAAGTGTTGGTACGGTCAATCAAAACCGCATCCCCATTATTCTCAGTCTTCAAGTTGGTTGTTCCTCCAAGCACGAGCAGATTAGTCGAGGTGCGAGCATCCGAGTTGAGGCCATGACCAACCCTGGCAAGCAAAGAATCCCCATCGCCGCCCAGAGTAAAGGTCATGTCAGGCCAAGATAATGCTGGGTCCGTGAGTTCTGGTGCAGTGCCGGGCTCGTGCAGCAAGGCAGGGCCGGGTTGTTGGTGCGAGTGGGCAGCAGACTCGTGGGCCGGTGGTGTAATCAAGGGAATTGGCAGCAAGGCAGGGCTTGTCCGCATGGGAGCTTGCATGTGCGAGCCTCTTAGACTCGGGGGCATCTGCCTTCCATGTAGAGGGATGTTGGAGATACTGCTAATGTTTCCAGGGGCCACTGGCTGCTGAGAACTGAAAGTCTGCAGAAACGCCTGGGACAGAGGCTGGGACAGAGGCTGGGACAGAGGCTGGGACAGAGGCTGGGACAGAGGCTGGGACAGAGGCTGGGACAGAGGCTGGGACAGTGGCTGGGGCAGTGGCTGGGGCAGTGGCTGGGACAGTGGCTGGGACAGTGGCTGGGACAGTGGCTGGCACAGCGGGACGAGCTCTGGGCGCTGAGGGCCGTTCAACTGCTGGTGCCTGTGCGGCTGAACATGCTCCTCCTCCACAGTCCCTCTCTGCTCCTCCACCGTCCAATCTGCCACGAATTCCAGCTCTTCCCCAGCGCCTGGGGCTGCCAGCACTCGCCCCAGAGGCTCAGTCCCCAAGAGCAGGTGGCAGAAAGCACGAGGGGTCAGAGGGGACTGCAGGGGAGTCCAGGGGCGCCGCAAGCAGGGGACAGGCGGGAGGCCAGGCAGCCAGAGGCGGGGTGCTGGCGTGGGAAGCTCTTCTTGAAGGGAGTCGCTCTCCTGCTCTGCGCTGCATGCCTCAGTGCACGGGACCAACTCCTGCCCCCCAGAAATGCTTTCATTGGAGAGAAAATAAATGTCTCCAGAGAAGCTGCTCTTCCCCCCGGGAGCAGAACCAGGCAGAGCAGGGAGTTGGGTGCGCATGGGTGCAGGAAGTGCAGGCTGCAGGTGGGTGGAGAGAGGTGCTGAGAGAGCAGCACGCGGTGCGCTGAAGTTGGGATCCGCGCTAAGGAATCCCGGCTGCACATCGCCTGGAAGGGCACTCTCCGACTCCACGCAAGGCCGAAATACCCGCCGCCGCTGCCACCGCCGCCGCTGCTGCTGCTGCTGCTGCTGCATCAGCACATCGTCCAGAATGTCACTCTCCGCCCCTGCAGCAGCTGCTGCTGCTCCGAGGACTCAGAGTGCCTCATGGTGCGGCAGGCCCACGCTCTCTCGGCTCGACTCAGCACCGGTGCGTCCGTCATAAGCCCTCCGCTCCAGCCCTTTTGAGTCGACTCAAAAGTGGCCCACGCTCTCTCGGCTCGACTCAGCTCCGTTGCAGTCGCCATAAGCCCGTTCCATTCCTCTCTCGCTCTCTTCAAGGGCAGGCTGAGTGCAGCTGAGCCGACGCAAGCGGTTCCACTCGCCAGAGGTGACTTCTGAGTCGACTCAAAAGTCACCCCGCTCCGGTCCTCCAGCCCAATCCAGTCCTCTCTCGCTCGCTTCATCGGCAAGCTGAGTGCAGCTGCGCCGACATAAGCGGTTCCATTCGCCAGAGCAGCAGCGTCGGAGACAGGTCCACTGGAAGCAGAAGCAATAGGCGGAGCATTGGAGACAGCAGCAGCACCGGGAAAAGAAGCATTGGAGAAGGGAGCACTGGAAAAACGAGCATTGGAGCAGCGGGCATTGGGTGAGAGAAACACACTCCTGCACTCGTCAAACGACAGCCCACCGAAAGTAAGAGTAGGTGTCGGCAACCCGGGTGAACCGACGCCATCCTCCCCCTGCTGCTGCTGCTGCTGCTGCTGCTGCTGCTGGTCGTCATGCCAAGGCTGGAACTGGCTCGGCCCCTCCAAGGCCATGCCTTGGGGGAATGCGACAGCGGCACCTCCCAGGCGCTCTGTTCTGCGATGAAGAAACTTCCTGCACCAAGACATTCCCACATACGAGGTGTTCAGAGGTGTTAAGAAAAGAACAGCCCTGGCAGAACGCATAACTTCAGTATTTGAGAGTGGCATGCAGCGTTACAAGTACCTTTTGAGGAAGATGTAACGGTTACAGCACGACTTGCCGCTCCACTTCAACTGACCGCTCCTTCCCAGCTCTCCCCACTGCCTCGTGCCGCAGCGCAGGGCGTGGCGCAATAGAACAGCGTCCTCCTGCCATGGCGAGTGTGTGGGGCAATGATTAGAGATATAACGTTGATCCCTTGGACATCGATCCCTGGGCATGGCCGTGCACCGTGAACAGTGCATGCAAAGGTGTGCACGGTGAAAAGGTGCGGCCAAATAGCGTGTCTTAAGGCTCACTAAATAGGCATTCCACCGACATCACCACGTAGGTCAATCCCAAAACAAGCCCTAACCGCTGTGCTAGCGAGAAGGGGAGGGGCGCATGCAGGCTTTGCATGCGCATTCAACGGGTCTAGGCGGCAGCCTGAGTGGGACTCACTTCTGCGGACCACCACCGCGGTGACCGCCGCGGCTGAACGGCGAGCGAAGAGGACTGGGACGGCGAATTCGCTTCATCCGGCGGCATGGCGTTTTAGTAGTAGTACTAGCACTGGCATGCATGACAAATGCTGGGCAGTCGTCATTACTGACGACTTTATCAGGCGTCTTGGCCTTGGGGGCCGTCTGACTTCAGAGAAGGGCAACGTGGCTTCGGTTCAATCGGGGAATGACGTTTTGGCCGTCGTCTTTAACTTCAGCGAAGGGCCAACTCGATCTTGGCGCATGCAGCGCATACTGTGCACAAGCACTGCGCAGCTCCAGGGTCGGTTTCGCCTCGAGCATCACGTGCATGCATTGATGCCATGCTGGAGGGTACTCGGCATTTTGCGATCAAGCATCACGTGTATGGCAGTTCTCCGACCCGCAACGGGTAGCATTCTTGGGGGAAGGCCAGCTACACGACAGCAGTGCTGCCGTCAGGAAGAATCTATGTACTCCGCATGTGCCCATTCTAGCTACCGAGATCTAATAAGGATAGAATTCATGGTTACGGAGGAATGCCAACGGGGAATAGCGCATCTTGACAGTGAAAGGCGGTGATTGCATGTCTTATAGGCCTGTGACAAGATTTTGCTTCGTTGCGGTTGGCTGAAGTTCTTACCGTTCTAAAGCTTTTCCTAAACGATACAGAACGATTAGGTAGGGTATTTGGAGAAAGCAAACTTTTCGTCACACGCCCTTGCGACGAAGACTTGAGATGAGATGATGGGATTGCCATTCCGGATAGGGTTTGGTAGGTTCGTCAGAAAAGAGACAAGCTGAGGGCGTGTAGCCTAGAGTCTGAGATCGTATTCTGAAGTTGGGCTGACGAGCAAAGTTTTCCCATGCGGCTCGAAATGTCTTGAAATGTCTAAAATTGGGAATGCAATGTTGGGCTGTGCGCTTCGGATTTTGCCGAAACCAAAAGTTTCGCCCATGTGCCCTGCGACGTGGGCGCACGACCAACGCGATCAACGCGTCTGGCGCAAAACGATTGCAAAACAGGCGGCCCTGTGGCACGGTTACCGCATCAGCTGCCCGTAACAACACACAAACAAACGAGGCACGAAACGAATAACGGGCAGAACTTCCTGGACCCCAATATCGCCTCTCAAGCCATAAA